TTGCTGCTTTTCTTCTAAGCTTTGTTTTCCAGTTTTAAGGATTTTTGTCCTGTCTTGAGCTGTCAATGGATTCATGTACCTACTATTTGAACAGAATACTAACCTGTTTCTAGGCCTTAAGTTTTAAGGAAATATCCTTACCAGTTCAAAACTGCTTTTCTTGAAACCATCAGCTGAACTTGCTATTGTAAGTAATTAGATTACTTATGATATTGTGTGATCAACGAAATGTTGGGGGAAAAGGAATTGAAGATAACTGTAGACAGCAGAGTTAGTGGAATAAGACAGTGGAATAGGGCAGAGGGTCAGACATGGGGTAAAAAACATATAGATATGAAAGTAGAAATGGAATATTATGGATGATAACATGCATGATTAAGCCACTACCCAGTTTATTCAAGATGGGAAACCACATTTTGTATGTTGTGATGATGCTCAGGGAATGAATGTAAATTAATAAAAAAAATATTTTTTCAGAAGAAAAAAAATGGCATTAAAAATACCTATCACTGTGAAGCCCACATTCCAGGACCTCCCCTTCCAGACTCCAGTGCTAGTCAGGTAGGCAAAGTCTCTCTCTCTCTCTCATTTTTTCTTGTCTATTCTAATTTTTTTCTCTATGACAAAACACTTTTCAGTCCCTTTATACTTTCTCCTGCTAATTGGTCTCTTCTTCCCTCACCTAGGACATCTCCATCTTTGCCTCTGCTGCGCTTTTCATTTGGCAGAGCAAGCACATCATGTGGTTTTCCATTTATAACTCAATTTTTTTATTTTTTCTTAATTTTAAATAATTTTAATGCAAACTTAATATAAACTGTTTCAGTCCCTCAGCATGTAAGATACTGACTCAAAATACTTCTATACCGTTTTTTTTCCAAGTATTGCACAATATAGGTACAAAATTAATATTTACGATTACATTTTCTTCCATAATATATAGCAAAAATCTTTAAACTTTAACAGAAAATACATTTTTTGAAAAAGCAAATATTCGTACATTTTAATTCCACCACTAAAGGAATATCCTGTACACAATTTTTAGAATAGTTGATGTCTTTAAGATGGATATTTTACAATTTCAGTAAAAAAAATACAACATGAAGCTGCTGCTGTCACAGATCACTGTAGTAAAAAGATATAAATGCAATACCATGTCGTAGAAACAATATATATATATATCCTCTGATATTTTACAAACTTTGTACTAAATTAAATTATACAATTAGAAAAGACCAATAAACCCACTTATTAGTGCCAATTTTTTTATTTAAAAAAAATCAGCCATGTCCTTGCTATATATCTTAAATACTGTAAGAGGCCATATCTGAGAGTATACTTTAAAATATACAGTCTGTATAAAATAACTGTGCTTGGCTGGCAAATGAAAAATTATGCATGTTTTATTTTTGTAACCAAGCTTGAATGTATCTTTACTATAAGCTTAAAAGAAATCTCAAGGAGGTGAAAAAAAAAATCCCCCTTGGACATGTGCATTTGAATCTGTATGATACATTTCTGTTTTTTTTTTTTTTTTTTTTTGGTTAGCATTCACTACCGTTAATAAGTTG